TAGCTAAGGACTCTTGGTTGCTTTCTCGAGTTTTATAGTCACAGTCTTGCTCAGAACAGGAAACCTGTCAACATATAAGTCAAAATGCAACACATCCAGGGACAACCTGGGGACAAAGCGAAGTTATTCGTTTTCATTCCGTAACTACTGTATATTTAACAACAAACTCATTACAGAGATACAGTCTTCATCCAATTAGTCTTTTCATTATTGCTGGTTTAGAAAATGGCCAACAATATTCATTAGGTACTGTGCCATTAACATTGCATTCAAAGAAAGAAAACATAGGAAACCAAATTCTCGCTCTCCTACTCTGATGATAGGCTCTGGTATTGGCTAGAGTATGGTAGTACAAAAAGAGTCTTGTTGTGATATAAAAGGCAATAAACACATCAATGGAATAATGTTCATGGGCCGCCAAGATGAAGAAGATTCCAAAGAGGTTGAGAACCCAGGATAGAGTATGCAAGAAATTCCAGCTTCTTGGAGTATCTAGGAAAAGGACAGAAGAGGCATTTAAAACACATTTCTTCTGATGCTTCTTAGTCACATGCTTCTCAGGGCAGGCTGTAAGCTATTGCTCCCCAACCTACCTCCCACCTTTTTGTGCAACTCTATCTCGTGTAGTCAGGCTGCCTTGAACTGGACATGTAGCTGAGGATGAACCTGGGGCTGCATGCATGGCAGGCAAGCACTCCAAGTGAGTTACAACCCCAGCCCAGTTGCCTATTCTTCCCAGGACTTTACACCCTCCCCACTTCCTCCTCTGCAACCTGCTGTCTGATATGCACAGAAGCATTAAAGACATACTTACACTCTGTGACAAAGAAATTCAGCATGGTTAGAACAACTGTGTGGCCACTGAACATGTAATCTCCACAAGTGTGGACGCCAGTCAGGGTCATACCAAAGCCGCTCCAAATGGCAAACGCCCGGCGTAGTTTCTCCCACACACTTCCATATATCTATAAAGAAAGCTGTGAATTAGTTCTTCAAATGCTTAGAGAGGTGGAGAGCTTCCCAGAAATAAGAGCATCCAGGCAAAGGTAAACAAAGTCTAACCCAATTAATTCCAAGTGGGCCCCGAGAGTGACCAAAGCTTGACTGTACTCAGAAAATGCTGCTAATTAAATGAAATCATAGTAATTCATACTCCTTTATAGTAGAGTTACTTTAAGTGAAAACGTCAAGCTGGGCCGGGCAGTGGTGGCCCACACCTTTAATCCCAGCACTCGGGAGACAGAGACAGGTGGATCTCTGTGAGTTCCAGGACAGCCTGGTCTACAGAGCGAGTTCCAGGCCAGGCTCCAAAGCCACACAGAGAAACCATGTCTCCAAAATTAAAATCAAAAACAAAAACAAAGAAAAATTATCAAGCTGGGCATGTAACATATGCTGAAGAGGCAGAGGCAGATATATCTCTGTGAGCTTGAGGTTAGTCTGCTGTGGGATGGTCTGTATGTCAAATTTCTCTGATTGGTCAATAAATAAAACACTGATTGGCCAGTGGCTAGGCAGGAAGTATAGGCGGAACTAACAGAGAGGAGAAAAGAGAGAACAGGAAGGCGGAGGGAGTCACTACCAGCCTCCGCCATGACAAGCAGCATGTGAAGATGCCGGTAAGCCATGAGCCACGTGGCAAGTTATAGATTTATGGAAATGGATTAATTTAAGCTATAAGAACAGTTAGCAAGAAGCCTGCCAAGGCCATACAGTTTGTAAGCAATATAAGTCTCTAAGTCTCTGTGTTTACTTGGTTGGGTCTGAGCGGCTGTGGGACTGGCGAGTGTCAGAGATTTGTCCCGACTGTGGGCAAGCCAGGAAAACTCTTGTTACATTAGCCTGGTCTACAGATTGAGTTCCAGGGGAGCCAGGGATACACAGAGAAATCTCATGTCAAGCCAAGAATAATACAACATGTCCACTATGGCAACATGCCCCAGTCAGAGGCAGGAGGCTCAGGAGTCCAAGGCTATACTCTCAGTGACACAGGCCAGCCAAGGCTACATGAGATTTGTCCTAAAACAAACAACCACTGTAAAACAAAAACATCCCTAAGTTTTATTTTTATTTTTTAAGATTTATTTATTTATTATGTATACAATATTCTGCCTGCAAGTGTCCCTGCAGGCCAGAAGAGGGCACCAGATCTCATTACAAGTGGTTGTGAGCCACCATGTAGTTGATGGGAATTGAACTCAGGACCTCTAGAAGAGCAGCCAGTGCTCTTAACCACTGAGCCATTTCTCCAGCCCCCTGAGCTTTATTTTTATTTATTTAATAATTT